AGCATTCTTTATTCAAGCATTCATTCATTCAAGCATTCATTCATTCATTCATTCATTCATTCATTCATTCATTCATTCATTCATTCATTCATTCAAGCATTCATTCATTCAAGCATTCATTCAAGCATTCATTCATTCATTCATTCATTCAAGCATTCATTCATTCAAGCATTCATTCATTCATTCAAGCATTCTTTCATTCAAGCATTCATTCATTCATTCATTCAAGCATTCATTCATTCATTCAAGCATTCATTCATTCAAGCATTCATTCATTCATTCATTCATTCAAGCATTCATTCATTCATTCAAGCATTCATTCATTCATTCAAGCATTCTTTCATTCAAGCATTCATTCATTCAAGCATTCTTTCATTCAAGCATTCATTCATTCATTCAAGCATTCATTCATTCAAGCATTCATTCATTCATTCAAGCATTCTTTCATTCAAGCATTCATTCATTCAAGCATTCTTTCATTCATTCATTCATTCATTCATTCATTCATTCATATATCCAATGGATGACCTGTATTTTGTTGTTTTTTTCCCAATTTTCAGCTCATATTTACTTTTGGTTTTATAGTTTGAGAAATACTAATCTTTTACATTTTCAACTTTAACTTTGACTTTGAAGGTTGCGTTAAGTTTTCAACAAATTTTAACGACTGTGGCCATTTTTTTGTTGTTATGTTAGTATCTTTAACCAAAGAAAATTTGTTGAGGTTTTATGCTTGGTTTCATTGTTCATTTATCCAGATTTCTGGAGGTGAATTAAAACATTGTAAGAAATAAAGGAATGATTAGCATATCCATATAGCTTTCATTAGTTTATTTATTTATCTAATAGCTTTGTTATTCATCTAATATATTTAAATAAGTGTTGCTTTAATACAATAATTGTTAGGTTAGTTATTTAGGTAAGGTAAAATTATACAAAGGACTGGTATATCCATACAGCTTTTAATTTATCTAAAATAATTATTATTTGTTATTTATCTCAGATATTTGTTATTTTACTAAAATATTTGTTGTTTATTTCATTTTTTATCTTGGTTTTGTTGTTTTATATTTTCAGTTATTACATATTAAAAGTAATAAATTTTTAACAGTCAATAAACGACTGCCAGCACAACTAGAGAAAAATGCTATGAGGGTAACTCTGGATTCTTCTGGCAACGAAGGTTCCTGGTTTTATATTCAACCCTTTTATAAACACAGTTCACAGGGAGACAAGGTAAGAATTATTTATATTTCTACTCATTTGATCATACTGGTATCATATCAGGACAGAAGATTGATAAAACTAATCAGATTTGACCAAAATAGTTTAGAAACTTTTGTTATGTCGAAAATAAAAGAGCATTACAACAATTGATTTTTGAAAAATAGATTTATTCTTTTACCACGAAAACTAACATTTTTTTTACCTTGAAAAGATTTTGTTTTAATGATTTCTTGGTTAAACAAAGTTCTAAACTCTTACCAATGTTTATAATAAAGTCTTTGAATGGAATTTAGTAATTGTAAGTAAGATATAGACACAGCTTTATTGAACAACAATCACTGGTTACAGGTTTTATGCAACGTTTCGACGTTTATTTATATATAGTTTGCCCATCACTTCTTCTCATTATGTGTCTGAGGACGACGGGGGAAACACATCGAAACGTTGCATAAAACTTTAATCAGTGATTGTTGTTCCATAAAGCTGTGTCTATAAGTTTATAATGTTCACTTTCCTGGTCAAATTTTACAAAATCCAAGGCATTGGCCTGTCTTCATTAGCCCAAGCTGTCAACTAGGATATTAAACTCACAAATGCACATTTTTGTCATTCAAGTGAAGTTGACAAACCATGACCAAATCGTAAAAAATGTGCTGTCGATAAAATCACAAGATAATATCAGTAGTTATTTATTTTTCTGGGAAAATATAGAAAACATCCTGGTCTAATAATAACTGAATATATTTACATTATTCATTAATATTAAACGGGTATATTCATTTCAATATTAACTCACCAGCTGATAGAGCTTATTTTCAGCTATCTTTATTAACTGATAGAACTCATTTTCAGCTTTATCTACCAGCTGATAGAACTCATTTTCAGCTTTATCTACCAACTGATAGAACTCATTTTCAGCTATCTGTATAGTCATCTAGATATTTACTTTACTAACTGATAGAGCTCAATTTCAGCTATCTGTATAGTCATCTAAATATTCACTTTACCAGTTAATAGAGCTCAATTTCAGCTATCTGTATAGTCATCTAAATATTTACTTTACCAGCTGATAGAACTCAATTTCAGCTATCTGTATAGTCATCTAAATATTTATTTTACCAGCTGATAGAGCTCAATTTCAGCTTTCTGTATAATCATCTAAATATTTACTTTACCAGCTGATAGAACTCAATTTCAGCTATCTGTATAGTCATCTAAATATTTACTTTACCAGCTGATAGAACTCAATTTCAGCTATCTGTATAGTCATCTAAATATTTATTTTACCAGCTGATAGAACTCAATTTCAGCTATCTGTATAGTTATCTAAATATTTACTTTACCAGCTGATAGAACTCAGTTTCAACTATCTGCATAGTCATCTAAATATTTACTTTACCAGCTGATAGAACTCAATATCAGCTATCTGTATAGTCATCTAAATATTAACTTTACTAGCTGATAGAACTCAATTTCAGCTATCTGTATAATCATCTAAATATTTACTTTACCAGTTGATAGAACTCAATTTCAGCTATCTGTATAGTCATCTAAATATTTACTTTACCGGCTGATAGAGTTCAATTTCAGCTATCTGTATAGTCATCTAAATATTTACTTTACCGGCTGATAGAGCTCAATTTCAGCTATCTGTATAGTCATCTAAATATTTACTTTACCGGCTGATAGAGCTCAATTTCAGATATCTGTATAGTCATCTAAATATTTACTTTACCAGTTGATAGAACTCAATTTCAGCTATCTGTATAGTCATCTAAATATTTACTTTACCAGCTGATAGAGCTTAATTTCAGCTATCTGTATAGTCATCTAAATATTTACTTTACCAGCTGATAGAACTCAATTTCAGCTATCTGTATAGTCATCTAAATATTTACTTTACCAGCTGATTGAGCTCAATTTCAACTATCTTTAAATGTTTACTATTTTCAGGTGGTTGTAGGTGATAAAGTGGTCTTAAATCCAGTAAATGCAGGACAACCTCTACATGCTAGTAACTGTGATCTCATAGACAATCCTGGATGTAAAGAAGTGAACTCTGTTAACTGTACAACATGTTGGAAGGTGATATTGTTTATGGAATATAGAGAGAATAAAGATGATATTGTCAAAGGGGTAAGAGAGATAGAAATGTTCATATTTCCATAGACAAAAAACTATCTTGAAAAATTTTTAGAAACCTTTCGAATTTTAATGTATAATTTAGCACTTGTGTCTAAATTCTTTAATCTTTCAAAAATATTTACTGCTTGGTTGACTGGAATAATGAGAAAAGATGACCTCTTCCATATCTATATACATGAGGGTATGGAATAATGAGATTGGAGTCTTATTGAAAATTCAGACTACAACTAAACTTATCTGATTAAAGACAGATATATATAACGGCCAATTTGTATCAATATATTTTGTCTCTATTACAGGGAGACGTAGTGAGATTGTTTCATGCAGAACAGGAGAAGTTTTTAACTGGTGACGAATATAAAAATCAACAGTATGTTTTTCTACGGACAACTGGACGAACATCTGCCACAGCTGCTACCAGTTCTAAAGCATTATGGGAAGTGGAGGTAAATCAGACTCTTTTATCATCTTACTGCAGAGGTTTTAATTTGAGTGGTGCTAATCGACGTAAACAGTTCAAGGTCTGAATATCAACTGACTGATGGGCATGTCTTACCCTGGCTGGGTGGCAGCAATATTTCTTCAACAAATATGGCAACTACTAATTGACAAACAGACACTACTTTTGTATTTCTTTTGAATAATTGATTTTTGAGTAAATAGAGCATGATAGCTTTAATGTAAAAGTAATTCACTTCATAATAAAGACAAAAATCTATATATTGTTGAACACTGCGAAAAGACTTATGTCATAAGGCTTGATTTAGAAGCTGGCTTATATTATCCCTTTTCATGAAAACCTTCTAATAGTAAACTCCTGGTTTCAATAGATAGTTTATTTATTTTTCTGTATTCCCAAGTTGTCATCACATTATGAATATTGATTGGTTGATGTTATTGAAGTGATATTATCAACCAATCTGATTTCAGAAAGTCTATTTTAACTTTCAAACTTTTTGACCATATTAACCAGTCATATTTTTATTAGTTTACGAGAATCAGAAGTTACAAACGCTCTGAAATTAGGTTTGTGGTGTAGGCCTAAATATTAAAGATATTTCTCTTATTTCCAGGTTGTCCAACATGATGCCTGTAGGGGTGGGGCTGGTCATTGGAATAGTTTATTTAGATTTAAACATCTTGCCACTGGTCAGTATCTGGCAGCTGAAGTTGACAACGACCCTACCGCTGATGCTACCAGGAATAAACTACGAGGGCAGGCTTCCTGGCAGGTATTTTGTCTGGTTTCTGTGCCCCACGGTCATGATATAGCGTCGATATTCGAACTGGATCCTACCACCATGATTAGAGGAGATTCCTTAGTGCCCAGGTAAGACAGAGTATTTAAAAAGCGTAAGTTTGTTTAATGAATTTTGAATAGAAGTTTTCTCTTGCTTTTTTTATCCAAACTTTATTAACTAACAAGGGCCTTCTTAGAAAAACTTCTAAAATTTCAAATGCTAGATACAGTGCAAGTTAAAAATCCCTTGACAGATGAAAATATGAAAAAGAATTGGAAGATTGTCTTCTTAATAAAATACGCTCTATAGCTAATTAGCATAATTTCTGATTAAACGCAGCATGTTTAAGAAGGTAATTAGCTGTAGAAAGGTATGAAATGGAATTTGTTTTGTTTTATTTTGTTAACATTTCAGACAAACGTTTGTACGACTACATCATCTGTGTACAGATTCCTGGGTGCACAGTACCAGTATCCCCATAGATAAAGAGGAGGATAAACCAATCAGAAATAAGGTAAATATAAACCAATCAGAAATAAAGTAAATATAAACCAATCAGAAATAAGGTAAATATAAACCAATCAGAAATAAGGTAAATATAAACCAATCAGAAATAAGGTAAATATAAACCAATCAGAAATAAGGAAAATATATAAACCAATCAGAAATAAGGTAAATTTAAACCAATCAAAAGCTCAAGAGTAGAATACCAGAAAAGGTTCCGTATCCTCAATGATTTATTTATTTACAGGTTGGTTGTGCGAAGATAAAAGAAGACAAAGAAGCATTTGCTATTGTACCTGTTAGTCCGATGGAAGTTCGTGATTTAGATTTTGCTAATGATGCCAGTAAACTATTAGCTGATATAGCTTCTAAACTAGAACGAGGTGCTATAACACAGAATGAGAGAAGGTAAGAATGGTGGTTGTGGGTTCTAATCATGGTTTGGATGTTAAAATCTGATGACCTTGAATAATAATCTTTGCTCCTTATTCCAGTCAAACCAGCTGTAATTTGGTACGGAAAATCCAGGAAAGATCAATGCCAAATGCCAGTTGGTTGGCAGGATTCATGTGAACTGAAGTTGTTATCCTTTTAAAACAGGGTTCTTTCTGTCTTTTGGAATAAATATTACAAAAAGGTTTCTTTCCGAAAAGGGAACCATATTCCAGTCTTTCATAATCTTATTTTCGTCTCTCTCATGTCTTTCAGATTTGTGACCAATCTTCTGTCAGATTTGATTCATTTTCTGGGTAACTTGGAGATGACCAACTCTGGAGTAGAACCACTAGATTTAGTTATTTTGAAACAGGATAGAGAACGACAGAAATTATTTCGAGAACAAAATATTTTAGAACAGGTTGGTGGAATGTCAAATTATTTTAGTTTAACTCTATTCATATGAGGCCATTGTTTTCAAGTGAAATTAACCTTTAGCTAATTTGGAACCAAATAGTACAAGGTTTTATAAGAGATACTCTCTTATAGAAGCACTGGCCAAGGTCACAGTAGAGACTATGGTAAAAGTTATATATAGTTTGTACATGGAAGTAGACTATAAAGAATATTCTATGATATGAAGACTCTCAGCTCTTGCTTACTTTACTAAAGCTTGTGTTGTTTTTTGAATATAAAATGCTTAGACAGGACAGTTGGTTTGAAAATGGAGGTGAAATTTTTTGAGATTTGGACCAAAAGTGTATTTTCAAAGAAGGAATTATTAGTTATTAAGTTCAACTAACAAAATCTATTTACTGCCTGACTTCCATTGTGCAGAAGTGAAAAATCCTCAAAACCTTTTTTTCTCAGATTTTCAAGATCCTACAGGCTCCGTTTCAAGACCGGGGTCAGGGTCCGTTTCTACGTATGGAAGAACTCGCTGATCAGAGACACGCCCCGTTTCGTCACATCTGTCGTCTGTGTTATAGAATACTAAAATTATCTCAACAGAATTACCGAAAAAATCAGGTAGATATTTTTTTTAACGGTGTTCTGAATTGTTTGGAAGACAATATTCAACTAATCAAATGACTTGAGATGACTAGTCTACAAGTTGTTGGTTTTAAATTTACTCTCTGGATAATTTACATACCCTATAGTTGTGTTTATAATACACAGATGTTTACCCCAAAAAAGGAACCCATACAGGAGGGATGTGCACAGCAGTAAAATATTTTTTTCAGTCTATGATTTTACTAAAACATAGCATAGACAAAAATCAGACCTGTACAAAATTGTTCATAAAAAATGAAACACAAAATTAAGATTTGAGTTGTCATGTTTTTATCTCTCTATTTTCAGGAATACATTGCCAAAAAGTTACCATTTATGCAGAAACAGATCGGATACGAAGTTTTAGCTGAGGAAACCATCACTGGTTTGTTACATAATAACAGAAAATTACTGGAAAAACATATCAAAGATTCAGAGATAGAAACTTTTGTTAAACTGGTCAGGAAAAAACAGGAACCAAGGTATGTATAGGTAGGGAGACCCAAGGTATGTATAGGTAGGGAGACCCAAGGTATGTATAGGTATTGAGACAGTCAGTCTGAAGGGAGTTGGATTGTTGTCTGCTAGAATAGGGGGGTAGCTCAGTAGGTAGTGAGTTAGATTGTCGTCTGCTAGAACAGGGGGATAGCTCAGTAGGTAGTGAGTTGGATTGTTGTCTGCTAGAATAGGGGGGTAGCTCAGTAGGTAGTGAGTTAGATTGTCGTCTGCTAGAACAGGGGGATAGCTCAGTAGGCTACAAATGTATGGTTATTATGAAAAAGGGATAGTGAGTTAGATTTGAACTTGCCAGGGCACTGGGATAGATCAATCGGTTGGATTGTAATTTTTAAGTGCTGTAGGTTCAGATCCCTTTGGAGAATGTCAGTGATGTAGGTCAGATGTAAAACTTCATTCATTTAATTTTTTGAAAGACCATATATAGTAAATCATTTCATATTGTATCTTAGGTTTTCTTGTCCTGTTAAAATTCCCTTCAGGAGCAGGAAAGTAGGATGTAAAACTCCATTAATTTAATTTCAGATATTTAGACTATCTATCAGACCTATGTGTATGTAATAAAGTAGCGATACCTAGTACACAAGAGTTAATCTGTAAATGTCTACTCAGTCCTGATAACGCTGATATTCTGATAGACACCAGGTAATATTAAATTTTTACTTTATTCAGGCTTTGATTAATGACTAGTGGAAGCCATCGTGGAACTGATCTCAATCTCAATTCTCTGTTGCTCTCTGAACACGTTCTGTCTGTTCCAAATCTGCCCTCAATTGAACAGTATAAAATCAGATATTTTACATTCAACTATCCAATCTATTTCCTTCGCTGCCATTTTGAATTCTGTCTACATCTACTATCTTCACAGCACATGTGAAACGCGTTCTGAATCTTATTCCGAATTGTTTTCGTGCATGTCCAGTTGATTCTTGAATCTTGAAAATCACGAATTGAGCGACCCCTTAGAGTTGAAGTAGACTAATTGATGTGAAGTAGACAGATATTTCTGGCTTTGATTCACCCTACTAGATTTAAGGGGATTTTGTTCGATCAATCTGGCAAATCCAGTTGATTCTTGAATCCTGAAAATCACGAATTGAGCGACCCCTTAAAGTTGGAGTGGACTAATTAATGATATGTAGACAGATACTTCTGGCTTCTATTCGCCCTACTAGAGTTAAGGGGATATTGTTCGATCGATCTGGCAAATCATGATCTTATATTGGACTCTAATCATAACTCTATCATTTAACACTGAGATAACAATGTTATTATTGTAGATTAATGACGACTCAAGTAGAAACAGAACTAGAAGTAGATTCTCCTGACGGTGAAATCGTAGATCCTATAATTACTATAGAGGAAGAGGAGGAGGTGGTATTAATTTGGAATCATCTTAACGATCATCAACAACAGAAAGGTATCCGAGAGCTGGCTATGGGAGCTGCTGATAATATCAAAGAAGATAAAGATAATCTAGAATATTACAGGTTGGTGGAGAATTTTAAAATATATTGGATTTCTCTCTCTCTCTCTCTCTCTCTCTCTAGTTCTTCAATGAGTTTGCTGGCTTGCTAACCATATATTTACAAGTGAGCTGTCATTGCAAAACTAGATTTCCCCGGAAGTATTTTATTTCCAAAACACACATTGAAAATTGACTTTCGAAATCGGCTAGTGGTAGATGATATTCTATATCTTGAAGAGGATTAAAAAGTAGGACGTAAAACTCCATTCATTTCATTTCATTAGAGGAGGATTCGAACCCTTGGCACCTAATCACCATCAATCAACAGCAAATCAAAATTGACTAAAGGGTATGAGCTGCCATTTTTATTATATATAAGCCAAGGACTACTCAATAGAGTTCTCGATATACACTTATATTTTATATAGACTTACATGTTTTCTAATTCTTTTGATAATGATAAATAAAATATATATATATTCCAGACACCAGTTAAATCTATTTGCTCACATGTGTTTAGATAGACAGTATCTAGCCATCAACAAACTATCACCTCAACTAGATGTTGACCTTATATTGAAGTAAGTATTCATATTTTTATATCTTGTATCGTTCATTAGACTTAGCCCTAGACAGGGGTTTGTTTCTTATACAGAGTTATGATTTTAAAAATTCCTTCTTTCATATCTTGTATCATGGCGCTGTTTTCTATAAGATATCTGTTACTACACCATAGGCCCCCTTGCTAACTTGTAACAATCTGCTATAGGATCCCTTCTTGTTGGAAACAGTACTTCTTTTTCTAGTTTGTTACAAAACTGGCTTGGTTTGTTTGTCATCTATAAATCCAAATAGCAGAGTTAATTATTGTTTTTCTCTGGCACAGTTCCAGGAACTGCCCTAATATTGTAGGTGGCAATCAGAAAGCACTAATTTTATTTTATTTTCTAGATGTATGGAGGATGAATCTCTACCAGCTGATCTGAGAGCCTCGTTTTGTCGTTTGATGTTACACATGCATGTTGACCGAGACCCCCAGGAGCAAGTTAAACCAGTAAAATACGCTCGACTGTGGTCTGAAATACCAACTAAAATATCAATAGAGGAGTAAGTATATCAACTGTATTTTAGTATCTTGTGATATCATATATAGTCCTGCTACCAAATTTCATGAATGATTAATTTTTCCCAAACTTTCACTGTTAATATTTGTGTTGTAGTTGTAGATTTGTGTTGTTATTTTATATGTTGTTGTCCTGTTTGTTTTTCAGTTATAATGTATTACATAAAAACAATAAGTATGTTCTATCTATGTATGTTACTCTATTTTATAGTGCTGGTATTTGTCAGTCATGTCATGATACAATACATATCGTGATACAAAAAATACGATATAATACATACCATGATACACAGATATTCCATTATGATACATAATATGATTTGGGGCTAATATGCAAAAAAAGTAACACTATTGTTTCAATGAAATTTGTCAAGTGAAAAATAAGAATAGAATTGAACTTCTACTTTCAATATATTCTGTATTTAGATGTTATATATGTATTTATATTTATGTCTAGTATGGTATCATGGCATGTTACAATGTGTCTATTATATGATATATATGGTTCCAGCACTGATATTTACTATATAGTTAAATAAAGATTTTTATGCCGATTCTAGGACAATTCAAACCATAAACAGACTAGTCTACTTTGAGGTAGATTAAATGAGAACACTTAGTGTATTTCTATTAAAGGAACAGTTGTGCCATTTTGTGGGGTAGATTTTAGGCCTTGATATATGTAAATAATCTTCAGAAGTACTAGAATGTACGATAATCACATAATTCCTATAAAAATACTTCAAACTAGGAATTTTATTCACTATTTCTATATATGTCTTTTCTATATATCACAGAGTATCTTAAATTGATGAGTCGTCATTTTAACATTCAAACGCAGATAATATACCTGCCCCTTTAATTTTACTAATAAAAGACTGGTGATGTTTATAATTTGAATTGTCACCAGAATAAAAATCAAATCTCTTGGCTCAAGGTCACGTATACACTGTATATATTCATATTGCTCTGTTTATAAACACAATTTCCCTTCAGCAATATGCATGTCACTGTTATTCACAATTAAAACAGCAAGCCATGATCACAGAATTAATAACTCTTATTAAAATAGCAAGTTATGATCACAGAATTAATAACTCTTATTATATTGCATGGTGATATACGCATGTTTTATAAACTAGAGTTTGTATACAATAATAACTTCCTTATTAACATGAGATGAATATTGTTAAATCATTACAAAAATTTGATGGCATAAGAAAATCATTTTGACTGGCCAGAATGACTAGTTCAGTTGACAAAACCAGCAATTTACTACTGAAACTTGCAACAGGACAGTTTTATCACAAATATCAATTTTCCATCTGAATTCTAAGGAATTTAAGAATTATTGAACTGGATTACAGTATGTATTTATTGTGGACATAAGTTTGAATATACTCAAAGTTTTCTGTATATAATACACATATATAAAAAGAAAATATTTGGTAGAATTAAAGTGGGGGTGGCGGGTGGTGCTGAAAATGTTTTTCCGTTTATTTAACATTTTGATATTTATCTTTCCAGTTATGAAGCTCATGTGTGTAAAATCCCAGAGAAAGAACAAGTAAAACACAAATTTCAACAGACTATTACGTTTGTTGAAGATTATCTCTGTAATATTGTTAATAAAGCCTGGTCTGAAAAGGAACAGAATAAACTTACTTTCGAGGTAAAAAACTAACTTTTATAAGACTTTTTTGTTCCAATATTTTCAGGTTTTACATTTCTTATACTCAGGTAAATTTTGATCTTTTAAATAACTGGATATTAAAGATAGATTGACTGATGTAGCTTTCCTAGTGAATTATCTAACTCAGCTACTGTATCACAAGGATTTGAAGCCTCAACGACAGATAATAATCATAGCTAGATTTTTTGATGGAGGGTTTTAGAGGAAGGTTGAAATTCTAGCTGATTATTAGATTGTATTTTTAAATTATATTTTGTATTTGTAGTTATATAATTACATTTTGTATTTGTATTAATAGATTATATTTTGTATTTGTATTTATAAATTATATTTTTTATTTGTAATTATAAATTATATTTTGTATTTATAAATTATATTTTGTATTTGTATTTATATATTATATTTTGTATTTGTATTTATATATTATATTTTGTATTTGTATTTATATATTATATTTTGTATTTGTATTTATAAAGTATATTTTGTATTTGGATTTATAAAGTATATTTTGTATATGTATTTATAAAGTATATTTTGTATTTGTATTTATAAAGTATATGTATAAATATATAAATACAAATACAAAATATAATTTATAAATACAAATATAATATATAAATACAGATACAAAACATAATATATAAATACAAATACAAAATATACTTTATAAATACAAATACAAAATATTATTTATATATACAAATACAAAATTCAATTTATAAATATAAATACAAAATATACTTTAAAAATACAAATAAAAAAATATAATTTATGAATAAAAATACAAAATACAATATATAAATACAAATACAAAATATAACTTATCTATACAAATACAAAATATACTTTATAAATACAAATACAAAACATAATTTATAAATACAAATGCAAAACATAATTTATAAATACAAATACAAAATATATTTCATAAATACAAAGACAAAATATAATTTATTAAT